TGTAAATATTTTATCTGAGTTTGGTACGTGTCTTTAATCCTTATTCCAATAGTATTTCCACCTAAAAACTTACAGAGGCTTTAAAAATTATGTGATAAATTAATATTTTATGTTTTTTGTCACTTTCCTTTAACACATAAAAAGTCTATGCCATTCGAAAATCAGATTAGCCTTCATCTTTATTTTTTCAAATCCCTGAAGGATTTTGAATAATTTTTTTAAACCCAGATCATACATACACACATAAACAGTATTTTCAGTTATCTACCTGCAATGTAACTATCTTTTCTGTTTAAATAAAACATTTATATCCTTTTTTAAAAAATTATTTAACAAAATACAGATAACTAAAAAAGGGGGGGGGGACTCAGATTATCCACAATCTCACCAACCTGAGACAATCCTTATTAACATTCAGAGTAAATCCAGATGGTTTTCTATACACAGATATCTATGTATAAATATATGTATATAAATACATATATACACACATGTGTTTTACAAAAATGGCAGTACACTAGGCATATATTTTGTAACTCACTTCCCCCACCCCCCTTAGCTACACACAGGTGAATATCTTCCTATGTCAATAGCTCCACATCCTCATTATCAGTCATCCATCGTATGGAGGAGAACTCTCTAATGAGATAATCCGGAAGGCAACCTGGGCAGAAGCATTCCAGGAGAAACCTCACCTGCCTGTTGGATGTTCATCTGATCAGAGTTTCCTAAGGCAATTTAATTCTATTGTTTCTCAAAGACTTTCAGTTTCACTGAGGGCCTAACTGCCAGCAAAAATGGCTAACATAGTGGTCAATCATTAACCTACCCCAACGAGAGAGACAGCTCAGAAAGAAAAGGAAAATCCTTTCTTAGCAAGGCATGGCTCAAAATAGTTCTCTAGACTTGTTTTCTTCAGTTTGCTTTCTCTCCTCTTTCCCACACTTCCTTCTCTTTCCCCTACCCACTTGACATGCATGTCTCCTTTTAGATAATTTTAAACTTATGCCCCTTATTCATTTCGTAACGAAAGTAACGACAGGATTTGCTCTCCCAGAGATCTGACCTTAGGTTTGTTCTAACTGCAGCAGTAGCATAGACCCTTCCATCAATTATGAATGTATTCATGTGTGCAGAGGCTATAGTAGGCCAATGGTAATGTTACCTTATTCTGGAGACTTACCCTTATAAATAAATAATGAAATGTTTCTGTGAAATGCCTTTAGCAAAGGCAGGAGAAAGCATTACTTCTCAAAAGACTAAACATTTTAAAGATTAAAAACTTTAAAACACCCAAAGTTCCTCAAGAGAATATAAACCACTTATATGAAAAGAAAGAAAGAAAGAAAGAAAAAGAAAGACATGAACTGGAAACTCTATAATGCTCGACTGAGTAGCCAAAGTTCTCTAGATGGCAAGTGTAGAATCTAAGTGAACAATCAGGAATTCCCTGGCGGTCCAGTGGTTAGGACTCGGTGCTCTTACTGCCAGGCCCCTGGTCGGGGAACTAAGATCCCACAAGCCACTGGCGGGGCCAAAAGAAAAAAAAAAAAAGGGAGTATAAGTGAGCAGTCAGAGAACCTAAAATAGATTCTTGGATATGCAAGGACACATCTCTGTACCTCCAAATATTTTCTTACATTGTACATTTAAAAGAATAAAATCTCTACACTTAAAAATCTTCACTCCTATCTATTAAGCATAATATTAGAACATGGCAATAAATAATTTCAATGACAGTGATATAACCTAGTGGTATGTATGATAGATTTTTATTATTAAACATCTTTTTTCTCTGTTTCAACTAATTCATGTTAGGCTTGTGTATTAAGCTAGATATTCAAGTCTAGGTAGTAATTCAGAGAGCTTCATGAAGCACAGTTAAGCGCTAGCTTCCCAATGATCTGTTCTGTACTGTGTATTCTAGTCCTCTTTCTAGCAAAGTAGAAAATACTTTGTGGTTGCCACTAGAGGGCAAATAGCCTCCTGGACTCCTCTTTGACCAAAGAGCTTCTCAGTCCAGGCAGCCAAAGTTTTCAGTTTCTCATATAACCTAGTCTTAAATCTTACATTGCTAACTCTTAGTCAACCCACAGGCTCCGCAAGGTAAGAAGTTTAAAAGTCGAGATTTAAATGTGCTCTTTTACCATTTTACCAAATGGTCCCCTTTGGGATGATAGATCTCTTCCCTGATCTCTTCCCTTCCAGCCTTCTTATCCTAACCCTTTCCCGTCTAGATCTTAAACCACACTGCTCCGCCAATAAGGTAACCTAACCTCACAGCACTCAACAGCAATCTTAGACCTTAGAGTGGCAAAAAATGCACTCTCCAGTCTGATTGATCTCTGCTTACCTTTCCCGTCTCATATCCTACCACTCGCACTGCACCAGTTCAGAATTGCTCACAGTTCCTTAAACATGCCCTTGTTCATGCCCTTGTGTCTTTGCTTGGGCTTCTATCTGAGATGCTGGCACTGCCCACCACACATTATTGAAGACTCAGCTCAGACGTTATGAGAAGCTTTATAGTCTCCGCTGATCCCCTGCTCACCCTTCTTCCTTTTTCTAAGCAGTGGATTTCGTTTCTCCCTCCCGTTAGCTCCTCCGTGTGTACAGAGGCATCTTGTACACACCTCTGTTAACAATGCTAACTCCGCTACTGTGATTATGTCTAGCAGAATATGAATGTTCAATCTACTTTGAAATGTAAACTCACCTGTTTTGTCTTTTCTTCGCTGCATTAGAAGTTGTTAGGAGTTCTAGAAGAAAGATGGAATGCAAACAACTCCCCTCCTCTCCAGGAAGCAGACACCAGGCAATTGTGGTTTTTGAAGACTGGGTTCTCTCTGCCCTTGAGTAAGGAGGTGCAAGATTTCTGCTGATAAAAATTTGGATTCTGTTGCTAGTTAAAAGAAGCAATTAGGACTTTAAGCATAAAGAAGTATTTGGAATCTGGAGAGGCTGAGGTAGACCAGAAAAGGTTCAAAGAGGCTGAACATCATTGTCCAGAGTTAGGAAAAATGATCTGAAATACAGCTGCTGCCTGGAGGTGCCCAGTGAGTGAGCTTAGCAAAGAGCCCCATGACGGGCAATGATGAAGTGCTCAGGAGTGGTGCTGAATAAACCCTGCACAGCCCTCACCAAAGAACTGTCTAGTTGAGTGGGAGTCCTGCTTCAACTAGAAAAATAATCACAAGATGTGATTCTCAGCCTATGATCAAGTATTTTTGTCTTTTTATTTTTCAGACCAAAACAAACTACTCCTAAAAACTATCAAAGATCACTTGTCATGGTGATCACTTTGTAATGTATAAGAATATCAAGTCACTATGTTGTACACCTGAAACTAATAATATTTTAAGTCAATTATACTTCAATTAAAAAACTTTTAACAATCATTAAAAACAAGGAGTGTCTGAGAAATCATCACAGCCAAGAGGAATCTTAAGGAGACATAGCAACTAAATAAAAAGTGGTGTTCTGGATGGGATCGTGGAACAGAAGAAGGACATTAAATGAAAACTAAAGAAATGTGATAAAGTGTAGACTTTAGTTAATCACAATGTATCAGGATTGGTTTGGGAATTACATTTATATATATAATATCAAGGTAAAATGTTAATAATAGGGGAAGCTAGTGTGGGGTATATGGAATCTCTCTGTTCTACCTTTCCAATGACTTTGTAAATCTAAAACTGTTCTAAAGACTAAAGTTTATTTTAAAAAGAAGGAATAGGAGGAAGAGGAAGAGAAGAAAAACACAAACAAACTAACCTGTGAGAATGTCTCCTCCAAAACCTTTGGAAAGCTGGACATGCCCAGGGCACCTGGACCCATGAGTGCCTTGAGTGCAGGGACTGGTCAGGTCATGCTAACTGATATCCCCAGTGCCTGGTTTTAATAAGCGATCAATGCATAACAATTATTAAATTAATATTTCTTTCCAATAAGAGAGTAGCAAGAGAGAATGTTTTTCTTGTGATGATAAATAAAACTGCAAAATGTATTGTTTGCTTAAGTTGAAAAAAAAATTTTGTAGGACTATCCAGTTCAACAATGTTTGTCCTGACAGAAGGAGTATTGTAAGACTACCTAGTATCTTAGCACAGAAAATAAAACAAATTCCATTCTTTAAGAATATTGCCATTTTTCTGATTTTAACCTGGAAGAAAACCATACTTTTCATAGTGAGATGTTAAAATTGAGGCAGAAAATACATAAACAGAGATCAGGTACAAAACATCCAAGTAGTTTTAAGTAAAGAACAAAGGTTAAATTTGTTTTTCATATGAAAGGAAGCAAACATGTTACAATTCTCCTAAGTACTAATATTAGAAGTACATAGACTGAAAATAGAATGTGCTTATATATTTTTTATATAAAAATTGTTGTCTAGTATGTTTTTTAGTTTAGTGCAGGTCTCTTGGCAAATGATACTTATCAAATAGCATTTTATCCATGAGGGGTATTTCAAAATAATTTGGAATATAGACTTAAAAAATTTTTTTTGCGTAGCTCATGATATTTGTCAATATCAATATGGTAAGTTATAGTAGAAATGTACACTTAAAGGAAGAAGGTGTGGAAGAAGAGATGGCCAAAAAATAAAGGTTTCAGATAATGAATTCAAAAGCTTTTCCTCTGCCAGCATTCCGTGCAGTGACTGAAGCAACTGGGGGTCTTGCTGATGACTCAGGACCCTGCTAAGCTGTCTTGCTTATCACAAGGGAGGCTATCAACCACACAGATATAAGGCTGTAACCCTCTCTCCTTGGCAAGGAGGAAAAAAGCCTAATAGATTTTTAGTTTGAACAGGCAACTCCCACTCATATTTTATTCTGGACATATTGTGAGAAAGGTAAAAAGGTCATTTTTTTTTGTACTTTCAGAATATATTTAAATCAGTGATGTTTTAAAATACACTCACTGCCAGATATATATTAAAACATATTCAAGATAATATATTAATTCCAGATGATGATTAATTACATGAAGTAGATTCTATTTCTCTCCCAAAATAAAATAAGAGGAATGAGAAGAGGAGAGAATGAAGAAATACATGTGATGGGAGGCAACAGGGTGGAAAGGGCTCTAGGTGGTTTAGAGAGGAAAGAAGATTGGGTGGAGATATCTCTGGGCCAATAACTCTATGGTTCTACTGTGCTTGGGAATTTCACATGCATTTTCTAATTTTCTTAACAATTTCAACAGATCAATTCTTTTTTTTTTTTCAGATCAATTCTTATCCATAGTTTAGACATGAGATGTTCGGAGAGTTTAGTAACTGGTCCAAGGTCATTCACCCAGTAAGAAGCAGACCCATGTATCAAACCTAGATCTACTTGATTCTATAGACTATGGAACCTACCATACTATCTCTCCGCATTTTCCTGTCAAAACTTTTCAGGTATGATTTGGGGTTGGAGGTTTTGATAGGTTAATTCCCATGTATCAGAGCTACTGGAGGTCCAAGTCATTGTTGAAGCTAATGGAACTTCATCAGTTCTCTCAATTTTTTTTGATATCTATAATCTTTGCTATGCTTTGTGGTCTACAAAGAAAGATTTCATTACTTCTGCCAAATGCTTTATGCTATACTATATAAATCAGGACAATCTTCAATTTATTGCACTGGTACCATTCATGCTACATCTGCACTCGCAATGTTTAGAGCAGTGCTCAAAATCTAATATTCTGGTTGTTTTTTATGGCTCAGATAGTGTTTTAATTCTGTACATTTCTTTTGGTTCATTGTTATTGTTTCTAGTTCTCTGCAGACACTTTTCATCTTGTCTTTTAATTTCTCAAAATAGGAATGGTGGTCTGTGTCTGAAAACTCCATTATCTGGATCCCATGTGGTTCTGTTTGTCTTGTCCATTTTTCTTTTGGATTTTGGTCACATCCTGTCTCCTTGTTTACCTGGTTATTATTGATCATCAGACGCTGTATATGATAATCGTCAAGAGACTTTGTATGACGCTATATGCCTCCAGAGAGAAGGTGCGTATGCTATAGGCAGACAGCTAGGTTAGCGGCACTAATAACCCCTAACCTCCTTAATCTAATCAGCAAATGGAGGCCATCTGAAGTTGGGTTTCAGTGAGAATTGGTCTATTTCTAGTTCACTGTTATTCCTGGGTATAGCCCTTCTGGGTCCAAACTGACTGCCTGAGACATTTATCAAGATCTCTACTCCTTGGCTAACACTACATCCAATTCTGGGGGCCCTACCTCCATGTGTCTGTGTCCAAAGCTCTCAGTCCTCACCGTCTCAGCCAGAGCTTTCAGAATCAGCAATCACATTTGAGAGAAAAGTGGACCCAAATACCAGGTTCACCTCTATGGACCTCCAATCCTCTCCCACATCTTGACTTCACAATTCTTTACAGTCTTGCTGGCTTTGCACTGATTTTATACTTTTTTTTTTTGTTTTAATATTTAGTCCAGCTTCTCTAGCTGCTCTCAGTGGAAAGGTTGGTCCAAAACAATCTATGCTGTGGTTGCTGGAAGAGAATTCACCCATACAGTATCAATCATTTTACAATTTATTGTCAGTGTAAAACTACAGTTTCTATTAAAAAATTGAGATATTTGGCTTCTCAAAAAAAAAAAATTACAGCAAACTGACCCTAAGTTCCTGCATGTCAGCTATCTGTTGAATCGGCGTAAGGGCTGTCACTTTGCGATGGGTCAGGCATGATTCTAGTTCACAAGTGTTTCCAACACCCTAGTTTATTGCACCAGCTGCCTTTGTTCATTTCTGCTACTTACCTGGCCCCTCTAGGCATTTGCTTTTGTGACCCCAGGTTCAAGTGACTATTTATAAGTTAGGCAACAGAGACCCAAATAGGCTAAATCGAGTTCTTTTCCCAGAAAATGAGCACCCAGCAGCAACAGAGATTTTGCTTACCCCCACTGATAACCCTCAGAACTAAAGATATTTCTGTCCACATAATACAGTTGAGGTAAATCACACAACTTCATTTTTATAATATATTCCACAAGGAGTTTGCATCCATAAACATTTCTCGTTTTTACTTGCTAACTCACAAATTTTGATTATCTAATCATGACCAAGCAATTCTAATCTATATGAATTGCTTAAAGACTTACAGTTTCTTCTTTGAGTCTCATTTCCTTGTTTCCTCAGTTGGACTAATTAAATGATCGTGCATGGAATTTTGCAAAAATTAATTTGGGTAATAGTGAATATTCAGTTTGGGGGGAAAGATCAACTTTCTCATGCATTCTATCCGCGATTGGCAAATGTTCATTCTGTCTCTCACTCATCAAATATTTGAGCAGACACCCTGTGCAAGGCACTGTCCTAAATGCTAAAGATGCCAAGATGAATAAGACAGGGGCCCTGACCTATAAAACTCACTGTAGTGGGGAGATAGACACGACAAGCAATCCATACAACACTCAGTGATAAATACTATAATTAAATTATGAGCAAAGAGCTATAGGAATGAGTGACTATGTATGTCCTGAGGAGTTGGGAAAAAAGGCTTCTCAGAGGAAGTAGCATTTCAACCTATTCCTATATGGATGATTTAGATGTTGGTCAAGCAAAGAAGAGAAAGGAGGGCTTTGTAGTTTCTTGCATAAACCACACTACCCCATAAGTTCCCTCTGCTTTCCCTGCTTCAAATTCTTTCCTCCAGCAATCCATTCTCTACACTGATCTTTCCAAAGCAAAATTTGATCGTTGGTTCCCCATCCTCTGCATGATTAATTCAGACCCCTCAGTTGGCATCCAAGGTCTTTGTCATCCCAAGCCCCCACCCACACATCCAGTTCCAGTCCCTGCCATGTTTCCCAGGCAAGGCATGAACACTCAAAAGGCCATGCTACCTCATGCTTCCATGTCTTTTGCATGAGTTTCCTCTTCTCCGTGCATGTCTTCTATGCTTCTTTCCCCAGCACTCTGGGAATACCTCTATTAGCACTTATCCACTGTACAATAAAGCCTGGCTATCCTGTCTGGGTTCATCCAAAAGACTAATGGGTCCACAGAGCTCAGCTCAGGGCTTAGCACAAAGTAGTTCTCAATACCTGTTTTGGGTGAATGAACAAACTAAAGAAACATTGTGATGCTTACTGTAGCTACAGGTCAAGGGATAAGAGATAAACTGGAAGGAGATGACATACATAAGATAGTAACTACGTATGAAGATAACTATATCTCAGAATATTATATACACATTTTCATCTAGATGATACTGCTAAATCTCTGAGATACTGCCCTTTGCTTAAGTCCAGGAGTGTATCACAGTCAATAGGGTTTTCAATGTTTTGACTTAAAAGAGCCCTTGCTAAATTCTGACAATAAAGGGGAATACCAGATGACCTGAGATTTCCATCAGATATATAAATTGCCTGAAGTAAAACATAATGATGGCTACATCTTTGAAGTTAAGGTTTTTCCAAGGCTTATATCTGTGCTATTTCTATTTATTCTTCCTGATTCCAAACCTAAGTCTCTATCCTTTAGATCTGAGGTCTTTATAGCTCTAACACTGGTCCTAATTTTCCTCAAAGGTTGGAGTCCTAGATGCAGTTTGGTATCCTGGATTGGATCCTGGAAAAGAAAAAGAACGTTAGTGGAAAAATGGGTTAAATTCAAGTCAAGTCTGTAATTTAGTTAATAGTAATATAACAAGGTTAAATTCTTAATCATCACAAATGTACCATAGTTATGAAAGATGTTAACATCTGGGGAAACTGAGTAAAAGGTACATGGGAACTCTCTGTTCTATTTTTGAAACTTTTCTGTACATCTAAAATTATTCCAAATGAAAGTTTATTTTTTAAAAAAGTTGGAGTGGTAAGAATTATGTTCATATATATCACCCACAGAGAAATCAGATTCACTTAAAGATTGCCTCATGATGTAACACTACAACCTGATATGACTCAGGCACCCCAAAATGCAGGATATTTATGGCTTCCTTTATAAATATATTTCTGTGCTGATTTTGCCTTCCAGACCAGTTGGATTTTATATTTGTATTTTAGGGCAAAGGCATATGTATCTTGTTTTTTATGCTTATAGTCTTCACCCAGAACTGATATTCCCAGGATCCCTCATTAAGCTAGAAAAGTCACTGGGAATTAATCCATAATCCTTTAGTAATAACACTAAACAAAGAACAGCAAAAAAAAATTTTACAGTAGAAATTCTTTGGTGGTGTATTTCTTTTTCTTTTTATTCGTTGTTCCAATAATTCATGTCTGTTGTAGAACATCTAGGAAATAAAGACAGAAAATTATTTTGTTTTTATTGGTATACATAATACTTTATTGTGATAAATAAGGGGAAAAGGAAACATTCAATGTACTGCCATTACATGGCATTTAAGGTGACTGTGGAAACAATAAAATGCTAAATTATGTGATGATAAGCAGATGCTTCTAGGTAATGTCAAGTAAACAGTGCACAACTTAACATAGCAGGCAGCATGTTTCACTGGGTAACTCCCATGGTGCGTACCTATACAAATACAATCTGAATAATTGAAAACCAAAACCTTTAAACATCCATTGACTTGAAATACCAGATAATTAGGAAAACTAGCGAATCTACACTGTAGAGAATGTAAGTTTAATGGTGATGTTATTGAGTCACTCTTCTCCAAGACCACAGGCCAGGAAAGGGGCCTCTTCTCCCCAAAGCCACTAAGAAGAGCATTCTCTCTGAGCATGTGAGGAAATATTATCCTCATAAATGTGATCATGAAAGCCACAGGCAAAAAGGATCAAATAGAGGAGGGGCTAGTGGGAATGATGTAATCATGAAAAATTGTATTTGATTCCTACAAAGCAACTGGACAAGTGAGGAGATTAGACTCATAACCAGAATTTCTGGGTAGCTGTCAGAGCTGTTTCCTGCCCACAGTTGAGGAAGTGAAAACATACAGTGCCCTCACAGACCACCTGGAAAACACCTGATCTGGGGTAGTCAGAGCTGAAAGGAGGGTAGCAAATAAGAGGTGTTCTAAATGACAGATCTTAGTGTCAAAGGTGCTGGCTGAAGGGACTGCTCAGAAAGCTATGGGCAAATCACTGTGAGAAACTGAGCCTAGAATGTGTCCCTTAATCAACAGACATTACGTTAAAGCTCATTCATTCATTTCATGTATCTTATTTACAAGGAAATCCAGGAATACATTCGTATGATGAGTACAAAAAAAGAAGGAAAAAATTTCTTTTCACTTAGAGATTTTTGAAAAAATCCTTTTACAGTGCATTATTCCCATTGGAAAGTAGGCTCTTTGGATAGTTTGCATCATTGAAAACACAGAAAAATAAAATTTCTTCTTGGAAGAAATTACTACATGATGCCCTAGCAGACTGAATTTGGAAACAGGTGATTATATACATATATATATATTTAACCCAGATTGATATGTTCCTATCCGTATTTTAAATATATCTAATTAAAAAGTCTTCCTTCTTTCCTATGCTTGCTGTGCCAAGGTACAAAGAATTACCTGGAAGATGAGGCCGATAAAGTAATTTCCATTGCTATTGGATTTTTCCCTTGCAGGCAAGGTTTATTCCAGCCTGTACCATATTAAGAGCGTTTGACCTGTCTAAGGCACCCCCTGCTCTTTGAAACTATTTCTTCCCTTCACTTCCCCTTTTCACTAGTCACTCTTCTCACATTCGTTTCTGTTTCTTCCTCATCTCCCCAACCTCTGAACATTGAAGTGATACAGAACTTGATCCTTGGACCTCCTTCTCTAGCTATCCTTTCTCCCTAGAATGCATTATCCAGTCTTGTGGTTTTACATACCATTCACGTGGAGACAATCACTCCCAAATTTATAGTTCGAGTGCAAACATCTCCCCCGAACTCTAGATTCAGATATCCAATTTGGGTCCAATTTGGATCCTTAGTAGGCATTTCAATTTAATATGGGCAGAACTAAACTGTCATTCCCCCAGCCCGACCATCAGTAAATGCCAACTCTGTCCTTTCCGTCGTTTAAGACCAAAAACTACAGAAAATTTTGACTCCTCTTTCCTCTAACAACCCACAGGCCATAGTTCCAAAATATATCCATTTACTTCTCACCACGTCTGCTGAGTCAGCCCAGTCAAAGCCTGGATTATTACAGTAACCTGCGTACCTCTGTGCTTGTGTATAGAATGGTGTCAACACAGCAGCCAGCGGCTCTCCCCCTATGTCTCTCAATATCCCATTGACCCTTGCTTAAAATAGCTTGAGGGCATTGCTATTATTCTTGGAGAAGGTAAATCACGGCGGCTTACAACATAACTCTTTTTGAAAACAAGACCCCAAATGAACTAATTAATTAAACACAAGCATACACTATTGGAGTTGGGCAGAACCCTGTAGATCAAGCAGTTCTAGCCTCTTATTGCATTGACAGATGGGGGGAAGCTATAGGGGAGAAGATTACCTGAGTCTCACCCAGTCAGTGGTAGAGTTAGGACTGCAGCCAGATTAGGCTGCAAGTCTGATCACTTCTCCAAGGCTAATTTTTATTTTTTGTTGTAAATATTTAATGTCTACAACTTGATGAGTTTGGTGATAAGTATATGTCCATGAAACTGTCACTACAATCTATGCCATAAACATATTCATCACCTTCAAAAGTTTCCTCCTGCTTTCTTTTTTACTATTATTATTATTGTTGTTGTTGTTATTCTTGTGTGTGATAAGAACACTTAAGATCTACCCTCTTAGCAAATTCTTAAGTATGTAATACAGTATTGTTAACTACAGGCAACACGCTGTCTTCTATCTGTAAATCTCTAGAATTTATTCACCTTGCATAACTGAAACTGTACCTTTCGATTTATCTTCAGATAACATTACAGAAGTTAAATAGTTCAGCTTCATAAAAAGATACGTTAGGGCTTCCCTTGTGGCGCAGTGGTTGGGAGCCCGCCTGCCGATGCACGGGACACGGGTTCGTGCCCCGGTCCGGGAAGATCCAACATGCCGCGGAGCGGCTGGGCCCGTGAGCTATGGCCGCTGAGCCTGCGCGTCCGGAGCCTGTGCTCCGCAATGGAGAGGCCACAACAGTGAGAGGCCTGCGTACCGCAAAAAAAAAAAAAAAAGAATACATTATATGTAACTTCAGTCTTAAAATAAAGTACTACAGTTAATACTATGTTTTTCATGACTTACAATTCTGTTGAATCTTGAGATCTTTTAGGGAATGAGCTCACGTTGTTCTCACTGAACTCTGGGAAGAGTTTTCATTGTCAGAAAAAGGGCTCCACCCTCCCCTTTGCTGGCTATGATAAACAGCCCTGCCAAAGCTGCCAAAGCTGGTGGTTACACTGTATTGGGAGTTCTCCAAAGTGAAACTTGGCTGGGGAAACTCCACTCCTCCTTTCACTCCTAAGAGTCTATATTTGGAAAACTAGTTTACCCTGCTCTGGTTCTTTTTGTATTTACTTTTTGACATTTTCTTCCCTTAACCATCCCTGGCTTAATTCTAAGCTTAAAAATATAGCATGCACATGAATGATTAGTGATTAGACTTCTGAAAGTGAGTATATATGTATATTTATAGATATTTATATAGTTATAGATAGAGATTATTAATCTCTTTGCCTCTGATTGACTTTTTGCTTTTTTAACTTTCTTATTTTACATTTACTCTGTTGATTGCAACTACTAAATAATTTCACTCAGTCCTTCATTTTGAGGTGCTACCTCTCAGGATCGTAAGAATTAAATGACATACCTATAAGTGAAGCCATTTCATAGTGCCTAGAATATAGTCACAATTCAATAAATGGTAGGTATTATATGCTATCACATCATCATCAACACGCATCTCCACTTTATTCCCTCCGCAGTTCAGTTCCATTCATGGTGTGTCACCTCCTGTGATGTCTGCACAAATAGCACTCAAAAAATCATGTCTTGAATTATCTACCTTTACCTATAGACTTGATGACGTTTTATGTATACAGTGTTTGCTTTTTTAAATTTATTATTATACTTACTATTGAGGATACCAGTATTTTTCAAAATGTGGTCCTTAAATCACTGCATTCGAATCACCTGAAGCAGAAAAACTAGGGGTGGTTCCCAGATATCTGTATTTTAGGCGAGTACACAGAAGATTGTTTTGCACACCAACATTTGGGAACCTGTGTTAGTCTACTTTCAATCCCTAGCATTTTATCAATGCCCTCACTTTGCCAGTGATTTTTTAAGACGGTAAAAGAGATTTATCTCATGACATCCTTAAAGTAACCCATATTTGCAGAGTATAATTCTCTAGAACCTATTGATCAGAATAAATATACATACAATAACTATTATACTACTACTATTATTATTATTATAAAAGTTTAAATCTCCAGGGGACATACAGAAGGACCAAGTACAAAGTGACAGACAATGAATGAATGATAATACAATAGATTCAAGCCTCCTCAGGTTTAGGTACCTTAGGCATTTGAAGAGATAAGAGAGTGAATGCATGCACTTCCCTAAATTGTGAACTCCAAGTCATATAGTTACAGGGGAATGGCTATTTATTTCCCTGCTTTAAGTAGAAGACTGAGTTTGACAATGCACTGTTGTATATGTTGCAAATCCTTTTTAGAATTACATAGACTCTACTTCCTAGAAAAAAGTCAATAAAAATGTGGAAGATAACCAGAATTCATCTTTGTGATAGGATAGACGAGTTTTCTTGGATGACTTACAGAAATCAGAATTGATAATACAAAGCCATACTGTGTATTTCAAAAACATAGCCACTACATGAATATAAATATCTTCCAAGTTGTAGATGAGACTATTGTGCTAGATGGTAATGTACAAGGTAGAGGCACAAAGCAAACGGCATGCTTTAAAACAAGTGCTGAATCTCTTGCAAGATGAAATATTAGTATTGATATAGGCCAAGTACCTTTATCACCAAGGTGCCTGTTTATCTCTTTGTTGCCTGTAGTAAAGTGGTATTAGTCATTTAGAAGTGAAGACCAGTGAAGCATTTTACTAAAACTATAATTGCAAAGCTAATTGGAGATTGCAAATTAAGTGGGAATAGCACACACAGTGATGTAAGAATGCCATGGAATCATAGAAATTTACATTTGGAAGGGACCTAGATAATTTCCAGTCCAACCTCCCACCCAGATCATTATATTCTGCTTTAAGTACGTGAATACAGGGGAAATTCTACGTGTTTATCTAGTAAATATTTATATCACGTTCCAGAGACTCTCGTTAAAATAGATAATTGGTTCAAAATACCTTCTCTCATATGTTTTGCCTCCTTGTATTTACTTTCCTAGATGTCAGACCTGGATTCCTGCCCCCAACTTTTGTATTTTCTTTTCTGTGTTGTCACTGAAACATTGGTTCAGAGATATTTATTTGTTCTGTTAGCACCCACAGACTTCCCAATCACTAATCCAAATTCTGCTGGCTACAAAATAGCCTTTATTCAGCGTGTATTCCAACCACGGTAGAATTATAAGAATGAAATGGCCTAGAGAAGAAGCCATACTGTTCTAGACATGTGATTTTTACTCATGACAAGGGAACAAGAACTAACAGGGAGATCTTCAGCCAGTTTACCTCCTCTGCCATGTACCATCCCACTAGCAAGGTGATGGACTATTGAGAAATGGTCTTTGGAGCTGGCTACCACACTGCAGGCTGCACCTGTCTACTCACCCCGAAAGTCTGGAATTGTCTAGGTATTTAGTAATGAGAACAGAGATAGAACTGTGACTACTACTTCTTCCCATTTTTGGAAACAATTCTAAACTTTATCAAGGCATAAGACAGATGACGCTTTTTTTAGGTTATCCAAGACCAAAGGAAGGAAGAAGCCCCTTATAACACCTGCCATAAATATCTTAGAACCACCATTTCAATAAGACGCTAACCACTCTTCTTCATTTCAGCAGGGCAGATATAAAGGTGCCCTAGGAGCCTGATGGCTCAGCAAACATGTTACGGCAGGATGATGGAAGAGTTCTCCACTCTTGTTCTTTCCTGTCCCTTCAGAAATTAAATAACGGATTTCTGACCTCCTGGGTTACAAAAGTGTTGTTTCATCAACAACAAGTTAAAACACTTGTCATATTCCAATTGAGAAAATGAAGAATCATTTTTATACTAAGGACGTTTGTATTCCAAGATGGATTTTGCCAAATTAAAAAAGTTATAATGTATAATGTTATACATTATTATAGCAATCCTTTCTAAACTCTTATTGTTGAATGGGACCTTATACCTACTTAAGTTACATAGTTCTGTGTTTGGTTGTTCAATAAAATGAATGAGCACCTGAATGTCCAAAAAAAACCCTTCATTTTAAAAATGCCTTTTCTATTTACTTATCCCAGATTTACATTTTTATCAATAGAATGGGTGGTTTACCTTTTGCCATTGGAGTACATTATGGTGGTCACTACAGAAGGCTGGTAGTGTAGCCCTAGGGGAATAAAAAGGTTTGGGTCAATGTGGGTGAATATAGTGATTAGTTGCTGTGCAGAGGGGACATAAACTTCATTGTCAAAGTTGTTTGTAACTGTACTTAAATTCTGGCTGTAGGATATAATTGAGCAAGAAAATAAAGAGTTGAAAGAAAGGAATGAGAGGTTTTTCTACCCCTATGACCTCTCTTTCCCACCACTTCCGTCACTTGAGAAATCCCCAGCAAATTTGTAAGTTTTAGCAGCCTGCCTAAAGCTTTTTGCTAAGTAGACAAGAACCTTCCTGGGATGTCAGCCGACCTGGTGGATCTACCACTACTCTGCTCCAACCCTTCCTCTCTCTCATTTCAACAGGCTAGCCACACTCTCAATATGTGCAATATCTGAAGGTCACCTCTGACCAGCACTTCACCAGGATGTCATCCTGGTAGATTTTGCCAATGCCCCTGAGCAGCCCTGTGAGCACTTACTATATGAATAACTCTTTACTACCTATAAAAAGTAGCAAAAGAGAAGGAAGAACTGGCTTTTCCTCTAAGATGCTTTTGACAGTTGAAAATCTAAAACACACAATCCTGGGAATTCTCTGACAGTCCAGTGGTTAGGACTTGGGGCTTTCACTGCCAGGGCCCCGGGTTCAGTCCCTGGTTGGGGAACTAAGATCCCACAAGCCATGAGGCGTGGCAAAAAATAAAATAAATAATAAAATAAAATAAAACACACAATCCTGACATAGCTTAAGGAGAATTGCACCATAGCGTGCCAACAAAGGCAAACTGTCGTGTACTATTGATGTGATAAGAGGACACAGCAAAAAATTGGAAATAATAAAATATCTATAATAGTTTGTTAAATAAGTCATGGCATGTCCATATAATAGAACACTATGCAACCATAAAAATTATGACAAAGACAAGTAACTATTGACATGGAAATATATCCATGCCATATGAAGTGAAAAATTAGATTTCCAAGAAGTATGCATTGCACACTAAAGTCTCTGTTCAAGAAATAATATTTATATTCATGGGAAATATGCACAATAAAATATAAACAGTGGTTATTTCTAGGTGTGGGTTTGTGCATGACCTTTATTTTTCATCTTTATGTTTTTCTTTATGTTTGGAATTTCTTTGCAATTTGTATATACATTTATTATAAAATGGAAAATGAATAAAGTTACTCTAAAAAAATTATAGTGAGGGAATGAATAACAGATGGCTTCCCAGATGAAGAAATCATGTTGCACTAAGACCTACAGTGGTTTTTGAAAGAGTTGGTGGCTGTGGATTGGAAGAAAGAAGAGTGGAAATTGGTTTAGATGGGAAGACCATCATGAGATGAGGAAGAAAAGTACTAGCTGACTGTAAGGAAATGAAAGTTGAGTGTTTGGACTGAAGCAGAGAGAACAAGGGACACCCTTGGAGCTTCACTCCTCCAAGCTTCTGCACTAGCCTTCCCACTACCTGAAAAGCCTTCTTCCACTGACGAAGTCATTTTTCAAGCTTGAGTAACTTGGGTAACTCTTGATCCAGCTTGAGTAACTCTTCCTCTTTGAAGTTTCCTTTTTGACTCAGGCTTTGGTTTTTGCTCCCACTGTGCCCCATCCATGCCTGTACTATTGCACAGAATGCACTGTATTGCACTAATTAATTTTTAATTTGTTTAAACCATTTCCATTAAATAGCAAGCTCCATGAGGTACATAAGGGGCTTATTTTTCTTGAACACAGCCTTGTCATACAATAGCTGTAAAAGACATATGTGTGCAGGATTGACTTGAATAGAACTGAATTGAATTGAAACAGTTTTGGAGAAGGATAAGTTAACAGAGAGCCTTAAAAGTAAGGCTGGGCTTCCCTGGTGGCGCACTGGTTGAGAGTCCGCCTGTCGATGCAGGGGACACGGGTTCGTGCCCCGGTCCGGGAAGATCCCACATGACGCAGAGCGGCTGGGCCTGTGAGCCGTGGCCACTGAGCCTGCACGTCCGGAGCCTGTACTCTGCGCAGCGGGAGAGGCCACAACAGTGAGAGGCCCGCGTACCGCAAAAAAAAAAAAAAAAGTAAGGCTGAGAGTTGGGTTTGATATAATTCTAATATAGAGGTTTTAAGCATATATCTCTTTGGTACATGAGGATGCTTCTAGCAGATGGATAAAAAGAAAGCATTACCATTCTTCCAACCATGTTCACCAGAAGTTAGAGTTGGCACTGTTGAGAAGTCTGTTGATGGACAATGGCCATTTAATAATCCACCAAGGGGCAAAATCATTTTATGTAGTACAGGTTGTAGATTCCTGATAAAGACAGAACAATGGGTGGATGACCAATGTTAAAGTATTTTCAAGAAGTTTCTTTGATCTCATATAACTCCAGTCTTATGCCCAGAAGCCTCAATGACAATATATGTAGCATTTTTACAATGCTGTCACAGTAATTGTCTTATTTTTCCTGATAATATGTGTTTTACTCATTTTTTAGATCATAATGCAAAGAGAATTATACCTTAATGTTGACCTAATGAACAAGGTGTTTTTAAAATGGTAAATATGGTTCAATCAGACCAAGTATTATCTAGGGCTTTATCAAATTTTTAGATTATTTGGTCAAACAGTTGTCTTAAGAAAAAATATTTCACATTCTTTATCCCCCACTATGCCACCCTTGATATCTGATCATCCTGGCCTGCCTTTAGCAAGAATCCAGGAAGCCAGAGAGCAGCGAGTCTGGTGCCTTGCTGTGATATAGAAACTGTCTGGGTCCTGGAACCAAGATGGCAGAGTAGGAAGACGTGCTCTCACTCCCTCCTGTGAAAACACCAGAATCACAACTAGCTGCTGGACAGTCATCGACAGGAAGACACTGGAACTCACCAGAAAAGATACCCCACATCCAAAGACAACGGAGAAGTCACAGTGAGACGGTAGGAGGGGTGCAATCACAGTAAAATCAATTTTCATAACTGCTGGGTGGGTGACTCACAGACTGGAGAACACTTATACCACAGAAGTCCACCCACTGGAGTGAAGGTTCTGAGCCCCACGTCAGGTTCCCAACCTGGGGGTCCAGCAACAGGAGGAGGAATTCCTAGAGAATCAGACTTTGAAGGCTAGTGGGATTTGATTGCAGGATTTCGACAGGATTGGGGGAAACAGAGACTCCACTCTTGGAGGGCACACACAAAGTAGTGTGTGCATCAAGACCCAGGGGAAGGAGCAGTGACCCCATAGGAGACTGAACCAGACCTACCTGCTAGTGTTGGAGGGTCTCCTGCAGAGGTGGGGGTGGCTGTGGCTCACCGTGGGGACAAGGACACTGGCAGCAGAAGTTCTGGGAAGTACTCCTTTGGCCCTCCCTGAGTCTGCCATTAGCCCCACCAAAGAGCCCAGGTAGGCTCCAGTGTTGGGTTGCCTCAGGCCAAACAACCAACAGGGAGGGAACCCAGCCCCACCCACAAGCAGTCAAGAGGATTAAAGTTTTACTGAGCTCTGCCCACCAGAGCAACAGCCAGCTCTACCCACCACCAGTCCCTCCCATCAGGAAACCTGCACAAGCCTCTTAGATAGCCTCACCCACCAGAGGGCACACAGCAGAAGCAAGAAGAACTACAATCCTGCAGCCTGTGGAAGGAAAACCACATTCACAGAAAGACAGACAAGATGAAAAGGCAAAGGGCTATGTACCAGATGAAGAAACAAGATAAAACCCCAGAAAAACAACTAAATGAAATGAAGATAGGCAACCTTCCAGAAAAAGAATTCAGAATAATGATA